CCATCGATGTTCTTATTCTCCTTTAATATTTAATCTTCAGGATAAAATGGTACAGTTACAATCCTACAACCTAATGTAATTTTGACACATTTTAAAAAGCAATAGTCTGACCAATATCTGGAGGCAAAGGCTGGAAAAAAAAAAACAGGAACCAGTAAAAACACTAATTCTGTAATCCATGCAATAAAAACTACAGTGGCTAATAAAAGAGAGATCCAAGCAAGACACAATCAATGTACTAACAGGAAAGACAAGAGACTTGGAGATTCCAGATATGTTTTATAGACAGAGTGAAGATGATATGGAGGTGGACTTAGTGGAATATAAAAGAAAGGCAAGAGTCCGTGTTTCTCTTTGTAACAGTCCTGGCTGTGCTAGAACACCTTTATAGACCAGGCTGGCCTGGTAATCACGGAGATCCATCTGTCTCTGCCTCCTGAGCGCTTGGATTACAGGTGTGCACCACCACCACCCATCTCAATTTCAAAGGGTTAAATTGCAGAAACTGGCTGCACACTGTTGCCACTAACCAAACTGAAAACATATAAAATAGGTTGGGAAGGAAAGGTGTTTATTTGGAGATTATGGTGGTTTGAATAGGAACGGCCACCATAGGCTCACAGATTTGAATGTTGTATCACTAGGAAGTGGCAATATTAAGAAGTGTGGCCTTGTTGGAGGATATATGTCACTGGATTGGATTTTGAGTTTTCAAATGCTCAAGCCAGGCCCAGTGTCTCTATTCCTGATGCCTGCCAATCCGGGTGTAGAACTCTCTGCTCGTTCTCCAGCCATGTTTCCCACCATGCCAATAACCTGGAAGCCAGCCTCAGTTGAATGTTTTCCTTTATATGAGTTACCATCATCTTGGTGTCTCTTCACAACAACAGAAACCCTAACTTGTAGAGTGAAGCCTTTTTCTTGCCTGCAGCTTTGGTTTTTCCTCACCAATCGCCTGGGCTCTGCCGCTTTGTAGTCCCAAAATAACACACAAAACGCTGTATTAATTATGAAGCTGTTGGCCTTGCTTGTTTCTTACTGGCTAGCTCTGACTTAAGTATTTACCCCATAATTGTTAACCTAAGTATTTCTCTTACTGGAGAAAAGTTCCGGACATCTTACTTCTCTGGCGGGCTACATCGTGACTCCCAGTGTTTTTCCTACCCAGAGTCTTCCTAGACTCCTAGTCCCACCTATCTTGCTTCCCTATTGGCCAACAGTGCTTTATTGACATATACACAGGACTTCCCCATCACTAACTTTGACAGGAAATGTTTTTACTACCCTTGTTAAATGCAAAAGGAGGGACTGCAAAGAAGGCTAGTGGTTGAGAGCACTTACTGCTATTGCAGGGGACCTAGGTTTGCCTCCCGGCACTCACATAAGGCAGCTCACAACTGTCTAACTCCCGATCCAAGAGAAATAACGGCCTCTTCTGGTCACCATGGGATCCTGCATCTATATGATGCACATATAGAGGAGCAGGCATGGGCACGCACATGCACACACATACACACATACACATACATGCACACATGTACATCTCAGTACTTTTTAAATAAAATTTAGGTAGACAACTAGATGGGTAAATAACATTAGAGAGAGAAGGAATGAGAAATATGAATTGTAAATCATTAATATATGAGTACTTCAAATTAAAAGTCTTGATACCATCTAAAGGAGACAAACAAAGGAAAGTGGCATTAAAAATAACGAGTAATAGAACACTTCAACAAACAAAAGTTTGGGAAGAACAGAAGGATTCAGCAAAGCAAGTCTAAAAGGAGCAATCAAGGAGATAGGCATAAAAGCATGTGACTATGGACAGGAGATCAAGTTAAAGCAAAAAGAAAAATCATCCTGGGGAAGGAGTGATAACTGATGGGTCAAATATGACCATGACTGGAGATGATCAACATCTGGAAATGACTGGTGACATTAAGAAGAGAATCTTGGTGCTGCATGGGAGCAGAAGTTGTTTTGGAAGAACCACATAAAACCATCAAACATTAGAAACTGAGACAAAAAGATAACACACAGAAATTTTATTGCTGGGAAAAGTAGATAAATGTTGTTGAAATGCAAGAAGATTAACAGAATCATTTTCTCTTATTAATACAATATTAATTTGTCTTATTTGCATCAAACCCTGAGTCAAGCGCATTACTCAGACTTCCTGGGAGGTACAGCAAAAGGAAGTCAAGCCATAGAAGAACTATGGGAGGTGGAAGCAGAGACAGCTGCTTCACATGGCGAAGAGGATGAGAAAGGTTAAAGAGCCCCATGGCCTCTGAGAGGGCAGAGCCCATAATCTCATAGAGTTGTTGCTCTAGAGAAGTGTTCCTAGCATACCCAATGATGAGGTGCCCAAAAACAGTCCCAACCCCAGCCCCAGAGCCAGTCACCCCAACTTGTAACAGGCCCAGATCCAATCAACTTGGCAACTGTGTTGATATCCCTTGAAACAATGCTGGTTTGGAGGCTGCTGCTAGGGAGTAGTGGGGCCAGAGGACATGGGACTACCAAACTCGAGGGCCCCATCTGTCAATGTCTGTGGTTGATTCAATTCCACTGCAGACAGTGGACGATTCAGCAGCTGAGAGGCGCACCCAGGAGCAGGTAGAGAAGAACTTGAAGGAGACATACATTTTTTTAAGGGCCGGAAGGCAAAGCAGAAGAGCTGCTCCCAGGGTAAAGAAGACAGCTAGAATCATTTCTTAAGATGAAAGAAATAATACACTTCATTCAAATAAAATTTGCATGCCATAATCTAGGAGTCATGGAGGAAGAGAATGAAACACATAGAGACAAGGAAGGCATCAATCAAAGCCTCAGTTTATATATTTGGTTGAGAATCAGAGAAAGCACAAAAATAAATAAATGCATAGATGGATGGGTGATAGATGAAGAAAAATGAAATTCAGTAATATAATAAAGTAAAAAAACACAAACTATCAATATCAGAAATCAAGACAAAAATATAATGAATGGGGTATGGCAGTATAAAAAGCTGAATTAATTTTAAACCTTTTATTTTGTGAATATTATATGAAAATGAATCATTTTTCCATTATTAGCCCTCCAACCAAGAAGGAGAATGTAATATACAACATAACACTTACTGTGTCCCAAACACTCAGGTAAACTACTTACTTGCATTTACTCATTTAATCCTCATGACACTGAGGAAAGTTAAATGCAGTCCTCCAGAAAACTATAAATATATCACTCTTTGCATAGTCATACATGAAAATTGAAAATACTCACCCAGAAGTATTCCAAAAGAAAACAATAATGTGTGTATAATGAAATGACACAGTCACATTTTACTGTTAGGAGGAAAATGACCCAAGATAATTCTAAATAAGAAATTTACCACAGAGCTACCAGAAGGAAGAAAAGAAGCAGAACAAAAGAAATCATTCACTTGCAATCAAAATCAGGGTCTCTGTGTACCTAATGACCTCGAAACTTCACCATAGGTCTTACTGTTGAATTAATTTTGCTATTTTACATTAATACAATAAATACCACACACACATGTTCAGCTTTATAGCCTGACAGTATCTACTTCTATGGATAACCTAACAATTGACAAACTCTATTTGCGACTACTCTGAAGTTGAGGTCTGTAACAAAGTATGGCCTAAATTGTCCATAAATGTAACCAACCAATTAGTATCTTTACCAATTTTAGTTTCCTGTAGAGCCTGAAGCATAGCCTCATACAGAAATATCAATCTGGAACATCAAAAGGTAGCACTTAGCAATCTTCACACGAATAAAGCCATTCACAACATATACCAACACTTTTCATTACTATAGAAGCTAAACGTTTAGAGCTGCAGAACATATTTTCTGCATTTGGAACATTCGTTTTTTATTCAACTGGAATAGCAAGGTATAACACAAAAGCATTTTGAAATTATTAAATCACATGTGGAAAGTACTGAAGACGAAATCATTTCCTATTGCCCTCTTCCCTGTTCCCCCAGTAAAATACTTAAAGAAGCATCATCCCTTCCTCACCACTAATAATGACGATCCTTAATTTGAATGTTTGATGAACTTTCGGCAAAATCAAGTGTGTATACTTGTTTATAAAAATCTAGTTATAATTTCAAATAAAATCTTAGATGCTATGCAGTAACAAACACAATCACATATAGCACTAAGTAAAAACGTTGTGTGTCTCCAAGTATTGGGTTCTCATGATCTGATGACCCAGTAGAATAGCGCTCACAAATCAATGTATTACATCCATTTCCTTCACATGCTTTCTACACATCTTCTCAGTTACTATATTAAAGAATAGGTAACATTCTGAATAAAAAAAAAATACTGCCTAAGAAAACAAGGCAGTATTGGCAGGTTTCCTTAATTTTGATAACTTCTAAGAGTGAAAAAATGTCCGACTCCAGAATCGTTCCAAGAACTATACACAATTGAAGACACAAAAAAAAAAAAATCACACCTCTCCCATATCTACAAAACTCATAAGGAAAACTCTAGGTAAGGCAGTGTCTCACCTAATGGCATTCTACTAGGCAATAACTCCCCCTCGGAAATGGGCCGCTCCTTTCCTGTAGCTACCACAGAGTTCTTTTCCTCTCCTCATGGCCTAGTAGGTCTAAGTCCCGGAGGGATGCAAAGGATGAAAAAAAAAAAAAAAAGGAGGGGGGCTGGTAAGGAGGAGTGAGGGCTGGATCCACACCCTGACCACAGCCTTCCGAATGCAAGCGTCTGTCACACAGAAATACAGCACATTTCCAACCAGCCTCTCTGGGGAAGCCACGTGACACCAAAGGAGACAGGTGCACACCTTAGGGAACCCTGATGTCCCCTAGGGGCCACACACACGGGGTCAAAGCCACGCACTGAGCAGCTCCGGAGGCAAACGTCAGGGAAACAAAGGAGGCTGACACGGGAAGAAACAAAAGGAACGCGCAGGTAAACAGCATCGCTTAGGGAAAAACGCCGCAGCCACTTCCGGGCCCTACCTCTCGGTGACTCCACTTCCGCTCTCCTCAAAAAAAAAAAAAAGAGAGAGAGAGAGAGATTGAGAGAGAGGTGGGCGCTCAGGGAGAACCCGTGCCGGTGCGGCCAATGAGAGAGTCCGCTGATTCCGCGGTTGGCGAGCTGTCGCCCAAGCCCCGCCTTTTCCGGTAACAGAAACCTATCACGGAGCCCGAATGGCGCAGGCTGGGCGGAGACGCCGCGGGAGGCCCAACCGGGCGGCCGGAGAGAGCGGGAAGCGCAGCGGGCGTGCCTCCTCTTCCGCCCCGGCCCGGAAGGGTGATGTGGCTGGACCAGCAGCGGCCTCACTATGGTAAGAACCCGGGCTGCAGGGCCGCGCTTGAGCTCCGTGGAGGGGCGCGGGCCCGGCGGGGATGGCGCGGGCGCTGTGGGGTGCGGGAGCCCGGGCGGGAGCCCGATTCTCCGGGACCCGAGGGTGCACAGGCCGAAGAGTCGGGCAGCCCCTGACGCTCATCCTGGAGCATCAGGCCGAGAGCCCTAGGAAGAGCGTGGTGGTGGCCTCGGCCTCTCGCCCAGAGGCCTCCTTGCTGCCCTGTTTAGTACAGTTGCGGTGGCATGCACAGCCTTTGGTTGTGTGTATCCGTGGACGTTACTCTCAAACGCCTGAGGCTCCGTCGCCTTTTCCCCTTTTGTGTGTACTGTATCACCCAACCCGTAGTTTTCAGTAGTCACTAAAGGATTGCTCGTTTTCCTTAACTCTAGGTCCTACACCTTCCCTTTTACCTCTTGAGTCTAAGGCGAAATAGGGCCCTTCCCACACCATTTTTTGAATTCTGATGATGCTCTTTTGCAAAGGGATGTTTTTAATGACTTCACTTCCTTGCAAAGGTGGTTCTGTCTTGTAGGAGTTTAGTGTGCTTCCTCAGTAACGTCTAACATGTTCCTAGGGAAAGCATATGTGTGTGTTATCTCAAAAGGAGCTATGAAAAAATACTGAGTGATTTCCTAGAAGTTCCTCCAGCACCACCTACAATATACAGCCTTTAGAACCGTGGTCAAAAGTTCAATTAGCCCTTCCTGCTTTCTTGTTTGTACATAACTTGGAGTTTTTTCCTAAACAAAATTAGCACCTGATAAAGGAGGTCGCATTTATTGGCACATTTTTGTTCTCTGGGTTAATATTTTATTGCCCACTGCAGCCTTTGCCACACAGTAATATACACTTGTCCATAAGCATGTTGTTAGTAACTTAGAAGAATGCTTTCTTGCCTATTTACCAAGAAACTGAAGTAGAATTACTTTGCCCATATAGAAAGTCAAAGGTGCATTCTTGATCCTGTCCTTCATACTAGACAAAGTCAAGATAGTTTATAGTAGTTGATGTGTATCAACTTCTATTTTAAAGGAGTTCCTAAGTGTTGTCTTGCTTTAAACTCCTGACTTCTGAAATATTAACAGGTAAAGGAACTGAATAGTAGGGTGAGTGAGTTGCCTAGGCTCACATACCTAGTAAGTAAAACCAGGCCTCAAATTTATTTTAATGGCGCCCTACAGAATGGTAACCAGAAAAATGTCTGGTGTGTTGAGTGCAGATGTGCAACTTTCTTTTCCAGTTTTTTTCTCATTCTTTGATTTGTTGAATCTGTGGATGCATAACCCACATTGCTGGGTGAATTGTATGCTTGTACATAAAGAATGGCTATGGAAGGATATGGGATGGTATTATTAAACTATAGGAATTTTAATTATAAATTTTACTTTTTTAGGTGTTGTAAGAAAATATAATTGTATTCAGTGTTTTATTAGAGATGTTACTGGCCATAGGTATTTTAACACATAAAAACTATAAAGTATATTGCCCAAGATCATATTGATTATAAATGATGTAGAAGGTAAGGCTTAAATTTAACAGCTCCTTTTGTCAGTTTATAACCTAGTCCTTTCTACTGGTCAAAGGTGCCATTAGTCACACGGGAAATCCAAGAGGTAAAGAGAGGTTTGCGAGAGAAAAGTTTAGGTGATAATTCTTGTGGTATTAGCAATAAAAATGACAGTAGGAAAGCACATATCTTTGGTATTATAAAAATAAATGTGACCATATGAAAATGTTCCATGAACTTCGCTGTGGAAGCCATCACACGAGGTTACTAAGAATGTGGTGTAGATGCAGTGATCTTCTCTCAGTGCTTAACTGCAAATAAATACTTTGGAGTTTCCAGAGATTGTAGTTTCTTTATAGTTTAAATTTAAATTTGGAGAATTGTTGTGTCGTAAAGCTTTGAATGATTCTAGTAAGCAGTCAGGCATACCTGGCCGGCATCTAGTATTCAGCTTTCCTCTTTTATCAAACAGCTTCTAGTTGATGTGTCCTTTCTTAATTGCAAAATACATTTTTTTTTCATAGTAGGATTTGTTTTTTTAATCTAGTACTAGTTCCACCTTTGGACTAGATAGCACTGACACTGCCAGAGATGTATGAACTCTCAACCAAAGTCCCGTAGTGGAAAGTGAGTAAGGAAAGTCTTTATGTAGTTCTGAAAGTTGGCCAGTTAGATCATTTATTAAATGATAAATTTATGTGTTAGGCAATTCAAATATGTAATGGCCTCTGGTTCTGAAGGACAGGTTATGTATTAATCAGTTTGTGTCTCTTGTATAGATAGGGTGTGTTTATATTTGCAGATTAATATTTATCTCCATTTCTGTGGTTCCCATTTTTAAAAGATAATAATAGTACATATGATTTTCTAAGTAAAATCTAGTTGGAAAATGCTGACCTGACCTAGATTTGCAAATTATAAAATGCTGACCCATTTTCCCAGTATGGTATGAATTTTATCATAATTAGAATAGGGGTGTTGAGTCTATCTTCTTCTCTACCCCGAGAAGAGAATAAACTAATTGTGTGTGAAACAAGTAAGTCTGGCTAGTGTTTCAAATTTTTGTCTTTGGTGTTTAACTCTTAAACCTTTTTTAGTTTATTTATTCATTTTACATCCCAACAGAAGTTTCTCCTCTGTCCTTTCCTCCCAGTCCCCTCCACATCCCTCCCCTCTGCCTACCACCCCCAACCCTCTCCTCCTCCATACAGCAGGCCTCCCACACATATTGACAAACATTACATATCAAGTTGCAGTAAGACTAACCACCTCCTCCCCTTGTATTAAGGCTGGATAGGCAAGGCAACCCAATTTGAAAGATAGGGTCCCAAAAGCCATCAAAAGAGTTAAAGACACCTCCTGCTCCCACTGTTAGGAGTCCCACAAGAAGACCAAGCTACACAACTGTTACATATATGCAGAATGTCTGGGTCAGTTCCATGTGGAATCTCTGATGGTCAATTCAGACTCTGTGAGCTCCTGTGAATTTTCTTGAGTTTTCTTGTGATGTCTTTGGCCCCTCTATCCCCTACAGACCTTCCTCTCTCACTTAGGATTCTCTGAGCTCGGCCTAATATGTGGCTGTGGGTCTCTGCATCTATTTCTATCAGTTGATAGATGAAGGCTTTCTGATGACAGTGCTCTAGGTACCAATCTGTGAGTAGAGCAGAATATAGTTAGGCATCATTACGATGACATTTTCTTTTTCTCCATTCATGGTTTGTTCTATCCTAGGTCCCTGGGCCATCCAACTTTGGTACCTGGCACTCCAGGTACAGTCAATGATGGACTCACTTTCAAAGCATGAGTCTGAAGCTGGGAACAGTCCACAGTCTCTGTTCCACCCTTACCCTACTGCATCCCATAGGCAGGACAGACTATAGGTCAAAGGTTATGTGACTAAGTTGGTATCCCCAGTCCCTCCACTGGAAGTCTCTTGCCTGGTCATGGGAGATGGCCATTTATCTGAGCTGTTGCTTGGAGTCTTGGCTGGGATCATCCTTGTAGATTAACTCTTAATTTTAAAGTGTACTTGAGTTAAGATGGAGAAATTAATGTCAGTAAAAATTTATTTTAAATATGAGCAATAAACATTGAAACTCTAAGGTAGTGTTACATACAAAGAAGCCTCTTACTCAGCAAATAAAGTGAGTATTTTGTTTTGCTGATGCTAAAAAGAAATCTACAAGGAGCCGAAGCGATCCAATACTTATGAAAATACCATAAGTTAGAACAACAATTTTTCTGTGAGTTAAGTCTTGTCAGTAACCAGTTATTATATATCAAGAGTGCCTACTATACTAATGTATGTATTCCCTCTGTTTTTGTTTTTGTTTTTAAGACTTATTTTTGTACTAATTTATTGTTTGGCCCCAACCCACCTCCTCCATATATGTTTAGGGTTGGTTTCTTAAGATGTCTAATTTTGAAGTCCTATTAAAATTGTTCAGGCTGCTTTTATTTATAATTCTAGAGCAAGCTCCTTAGTGAATATAGCTTTAGCATTCAGGAATGACTCTAGAAATAAGAATGCCTGTGGAGCATTTCATTTTTTCACTACTTTAGTAATTGTGCTTTTCTTCAGAAAGGTTATCATGTAGCTTCTTATCTGGCTACATTGACTTGGCACAAAAATGGTTGTTCCAAACTAGTGGAAACTCGAGTTAATTTAGTTTGCATTCGAGATTTATAATTGAAGAACTTAAAAGTAAGATAATTTGAGAGCTGATAATACAGTGTTTTAAAATAAATAGCACAATTTTCAGTGATCTAAAGTCAAAGGAAGGTTTCTTTTTTCCACAAGCCTACGGGTTACTATTAATTTTATTTAGTATTGTGTTCCAATGACTGGCACAGGCAGCTGTGATTCAAGAGAATTTCATTTGATACTTCTTTATGAAAAGGAAGCATTTATAGATGTGGTAGATAGGATGCACCCTTACAAAATAAAACCATGCACACGCACACACACAATCATATGTAACAAGAGACTTTGCATCAAAATTTTCATTTGGAAGATTATCCTAGAGGGAGAGGGAGCAATATAATCACAAGAATATTTAACAGATGAAAAGAGTCAGGTCATAGCCACAGAAATAGTGACTTAATGTGTCCAAATGTCTGAAGGGTGTAGAGTGCTTCAGAAATACAAGGTAGTAATACATTTTTATTGGTTTAAGCCCCTAAATTTATAGTAGTTTTAGTAGAGCGGAAGCCTAATATTTCATTGGAGGTATCATCTTAAACAGCTTAATCTAAAAGTTGTAAGCTGTCTACATTTTGTCATGGAAGTTGTATAAAATACAAATTTGTTCAACCTTTATAGAATGCAGGTATGTAGAACTTATCAGAATATGATGTGTAAGTTGCTTTTGACCCAGCATTTCTGATACCAACAACCCATTAAAGAATGTCTGCACCTGTGCAGACATAGTTTGGTGTAGTCATTGCACATCACTTAGAAGTTTAGGGTAGCCATTGCACAGCCCTTAGAAGTATAGGGTAGTCATTGCACATCACTCAGAAGAGTCACATTTTGGAGATGATGTGCCTATCAGAGGGTTAACAAAATATTCTTTTTTACAGGTAAGAAATTAAAATATAGATAGTAAATGTGGCACTACCCTAAACTGCTATAAAGAATGAAGAATTTACAAGGGAAATGTTGGCTCCAAGTTATTCTTTGTGGCAGCATCCCATTATAAACAGAATCTAAGCAAACATGTTTATGTGTGGAAAAGAAGCCAAAATCTCTTTATATGGAAAGATAATAGGGACCATCTTCTAGTTACTCTAGGGCAGTGGGTCTCAACCTCTTTGGGCTTAGATAAATAGCAGATATTTATATTATGATCAGGAACAGTAGCAATGAAAATAATTTTGTGCTTGGGTGGTCACCACAACATGGAGAGCTGTATTAAGGGATCGTAGCATTAGGAAGGTTGAGAACCACTGCTCGAGGAATGAATAGAGATCAGAACCCAGTAAAGGGTTTTCTATTTTATGTTGATACCTGTAGCTATCTAAATTTACTTATATTATGCATGGATTTTAAAAAGTAAAAAGACAAAAAAAGTTAGTAATTAGCAAATTAGAACACAAGAGTGTGTGTGTATATGTATAAATATATATATATATATACATCTGTGACCTCTTGCTAATTAGCATGTCTTATAATTACCATTTTAAATTGAGAGTAGTTGAGTATCTGGAGTCTTCATGTGGCAAGTTTACATACTCAGCTATACAGACATCTTGAAAATGTGTAAACTGTATGTCTTAGAGTGAGTTAGAACAATATACCCTGTTCAAGGTGTGCGCACCTTCAGAGTTGTGCTCTTGATGGGACAGTAGAATTGCAGGAAGTGATAGGTGTGAGTCCTAGGGAGAAATTACCTTGGGCTTTCACAGCCTAGACCTTTCACATAATCAGGGTATTTTTGTCTTTGCTTATTTTTCTGAAATGTCTTTGACAAGTAAATATAAATTCACAACAGTTCGTAGACTTCTCTTGTATAATTAACAAAATAGTGTACTCTATGGTCTAATCTATATTGTTTTTCTCAGTATTACTAATGTAATTTAAAATCCTCCCATTTTGTTATCATGTGCTTTCTTTGTTTAACTCCTATGCTTCCCTCATTAACATTTTCAGTGGAAAGGCTCTATTTTTCTACTAAATAAGGACATCTGTTTCTCTTAACCCAGAGACTAAGTTTGTATCAGTAGACAGCAGGTCCTATGAGCATTGGGAGAAACGTTACAGAAGACAGACTGATGACCTTAACTTAGAAAACACTCTTTGACCAGAGTCTAAGTACATCTGAAAGACTTTACCATTTAAAATCATTTGTTTAAAATACAGAGTTCTTAAACCCCAGAACAAAGTTGTATATATCATTTATTTTATACATGTAAACAGCTTTCATTTATAAATGATTGTACACACACACAAATGTATCTATACGCATTCCACTTAATAATAGGCATGATGGTGAGTGTCATTTTATCTTTTATTATGAAAAACTTCAAACACAGGAAGGTAGAAAGAAGGGGAAGATGAGCTTTTGTATACTCAGTATTTCATGGACAACCCTACTTTCCCCTGCATATACATACACACAGTGAGAGGCCAGCTTGGGTATCTTGGCATTAACCATAGTCTGGAAGGGATACATCATAAAATCCTTAATTTAGATACCCTGTTAGGAAGATAATAAACCTGTATGTAAAGCTAACAATTTTACCACTGGAATCCTTTCTTTAATACAAGTCTGTTAATTGTTTCTAAAATTTCTTAGCTACCCACCCCCTACACACGCACAGACACACTGCCATGTTGTCTCTTCTGGAGCCTACCATATTCTTGGTCCTTCTAAATGAAGTCACTTGTGCATTGACATGTAAAGTATCCATCTTTTCTAACTGGGTAATTGCTGTATCATCTGTAACATAAAGATGATAATGACTATGTTGGATATGAAGGTAATAGTGTAAACGAATACCAGGTGGGGACTGGAGAGATGACTCAGCAGCTAAGATCACTGGCTGCTCTTCCAGAGGACCCAAGTTCAATTCCCAGCACCTACATGGTAGCCCACAACTGTAACTCCAGTGCACATAATATAAGTTATTTTAAAAAATACTTTTGTTCATCCTTCCTAGACCATAAAACTAACACTCACTAATAAAATCCATCCACGGTCATCTTTATTCTCCCACTTTTGCATCAATGTTTACAGAGCTAAAACTATGCTAGCATTCAGTTCTTATATCCTACATACCCAATACCTACTGTAATTTGTATATAAGCATTTTTGTCACTAATATTAGTAAGTGGTTTTAGAGAAATGGCTAAGTTAGTAGATTGCTTAATAAAAAAGCATAAGAACCTGAATTCAACCCCCTGTGCCTTTAATCCCATGGCTGGGAAGGCAAAGACAGGAAAGTCTCAGAAACTTGCTCTCCAGCCAGTTTAGCTGAATTAGCAAAGTCCAAGTTTCATCAGAGATCGTGCCTTAATAACGAAGGTGGAGAGTGACAGGAAGATGCTGAACTTCAACCTCTCACCTCCACACATGCCTGCAAGTACAAATCCATAAATTTGTATACACGAAACACTGCTGGTAAGTAATGTGCAGTCTTTACATTTTTTTAGTAATGCTTTACTTATAAAAATATGTAAAATAAGTTTAATAATGCCTGGCAGGGCTTCTTTTCTCTGTATTGGTTTGGAGGTTGTCCTGGAACTCATTTTGTAGACCAGGCTGGCCTCAAACTCAGAGATCCACTTGCCTCTGACTCCTGAATGCTGGATTAAAGGCCTAAGTCACCAATGCACAGCCAGGGCATTTCTTTTTAAGCTTAGAAATATGAAGGCTTTTGTTCTAGTTCCTATCTATATAGTCTTTTTTTTTTCTTTTTAATGTTTTGCTTATTTTATTAATAATACAATTCCAAAGGTTATTGATGTGTGTGTTTTAAGCATGTACTCTTCTTGCCTCTCTTAATTCCCTTGAAGTTTATAGCATTTTTCACTAGCTTCTTAGATTTTCAAGTAAATCCCATTTACAAATAGCAATTTTTCCTTTGAAAAAGAATTCTGACGTTCCTCCTGGTTTTTAAGAAATCTAGCAAGACAATGATGGTGCACACCTTTAATCCCAGTACTTCAGAGGCAGAAGCAGGCAGATGTCTGTGAGTTTGAGGCTAGCCTGGTCTATATAGTGAGTTCCAGAATAGCTAGAGCTATCACACAGAGAAACCCTGTCTTAGAAAAACCAAAAAAAAAAAAAAAAGAAGAAGAAAATAATTGTCTAATTTTACTTCTGAACTTACTAAGTAGGCATACTGTTGACTGCTGAGTGGAATTGATGTATTTTATTATGTGGCTGATAATGGAAGAGTTTTTATCATATACATGATTGCATGGCTATGCAATGTAATCCCAGCACTGGAGAGTCGAAGGTAGAAGGATCTCTTGTTGACGAGTAGCCTAGACCCTTAAAAGAACTGTGTGTGAAATACACTGAGGGAGGACAGGTAGATGTGTGAAGACTTCCTGGCAAGTTGAGCCAAGAAGCTGGAGGACACAGCAGTTAAGGGCACTGTTTGCTCTTGGAGAGGACCTGATTGCTGAAAAGAATGAGCTAAACTCCACTTGCTTTATTTACACTTGAAACCTATGACTTCCTGTTTGCCTATGTAAATAATAGTTATTAGGATTCCTATTATAACTTTAGAGTAGAAGGAATTATTATATAATAACTGAAAAGGAAAGGTGGGTACTTTTCTTTCACTGATGTCTAATAATCTTAACCTGTGTCAGGGCTTAGAACATGATTTTTTAATTTTAAAACATTCTTGACCCAGACAAAATGTTGAAAGAAACTTTAGTCAATAATTAATCTTTCCCTGGCTCTGCCCAGGTTTATAAATACCAAATGAAGACTAAGAGCCCAGTGATCTACTGGGGTCACAGAGCCAGCCACTGGCAGTGGATGGAGACCACACTGTTTCTGTCTAGAACTCTGTATGCCTTGAATGTCTGTGTTAGTTATGTACTGAGTCCACTTTGCTCAGATGTTTGGAATCCATAACAATCACATCATGAATTTTATTTTCTACTGCAGCTCCTGCATTCTTTATCTTAAAGAATGGAAGGAAAGTGTACCTTTAAAGAAGTGATGATGCTGGTGGACATGTTGTACAACATTGTGTTTGCCTGTAATGTGCAACTGTCTGGCATGTTTGGATAGTAAGTTTCTCTTTGTGATATTAATTTGTTTTTGTTTTTTCTCTCTCTCTTTCTTTATAGTCTGCCATTTTCAATTTTCAGAGTCTGTTGACTGTAATCTTGCTGCTTATATGTACGTGTGCTTATATACGATCCTTGGCACCCAGCCTCCTGGACAGAAATAAAACTGGGTATGTTACTAATGGTATCAGTCACATTACTTCTCACCAACATTGAATGTAAATTACCATGAAAGTCATTACACTGTTTAATTGTATTTATAACTTAGTTGTGCTATAAAATAGATTTGTGTTGTAAGTTAATGAGTAAATTTCAAAAATTATCTAGTGTGACTTAAAATTTCACCTACTGAATAGAAACAGCAAATATTTATGTGGCTGAAAGTGAAACATGTTAGGTATCAATCAATTATTTTGAAAGTGCCCCATTAACTTTGTAGACATGGTTTTCCCCATCCTACCTCTTCTCTGAGCATGATTCTCCTTAACCGGTTATTTGGAGTTGTAATATAATAAGAGTAAAATAGGAATATGTTCTTTAAAAGTAGTCACTATTAGAAAAGAGTATTTTCACTTTTCTAGTGCTACCATGAAATTTGTCATTCAAAGGGAAGTTGCATGTGGACGTGTCCACCCCTCTTTTCTTGGGAGTAGGAATGTATCCATAACATGCTACATTGATCAAGGAGTTCTCAGGGCTACCAACCTTACAGTAGAGGTTGAGTAGTAGTATATTTCTCCTACATTAAAGGCCCCCAAAAGACTTTCCTGTTTTTACATTTCAAAATATAAGCTAATAGAGTCAGTTCTGTGTGTGATTAGAAACAATTTTACTTGATTATAGATAAGAACTACTTTTCTGTAAAAGAAATTACTAGATTCTCTTTCCTTTATGTGTTTTCTCGGAGACTCACAATACATTTGTCATTGTATTTATCATGCTTAGCTGGAGTTACCTGAATATCTGATGTGATGTGATGCATTTTTGAAGACTTCACAATTTAAATTTAACTCAGTTTTCTGAAAGCTGATTCTAGTGGTTTAGAACAGGGCTGCACTGAAAGACTGCTTTTTAGCTAGTTTGTTAAGATTGCTTCTTCCTAGTTTTCCTAGGACTAATACCACTATCAGCAGATGCATAGACATTCAAGCCATAGGAATTAAGCAACAGATTGTAGTGGTTTTTAGCAACTAACAAAGTTGCTTTAAAAATGAAATAAACAGCATGCTAAATGTTAACAGACACATGTTTGAGGAAATTCACAGAAACAACTCACTGCTGCTTAATAGGTCTGAACTAAGTCCAGGGTAGGATTCAAAAAACACTCCTTATTTCTAGAATATTGAACCTGGAAAGACCTGCCATTTGTGATCTAATGATTTCAAACTGTTCAAGGTCTTGAGTTTCCCATAAAGTCGCTTCAGATACCTTGCTCTGTGTCCTTCAACTCACTCAACCAGAGTAACTTTAAGTCATTAGTGTTTACTGTGATCCATAGTGCCTAGAATTGAACACACATGACTTTGCATGGGTGACCTCCAGTGAAGAGTAAGCCAATTCTGAGTAACACCTAGTTACTGTCACATGTTCCTTTAGTCCCAGCATTACTATGCACAGCACATGTTACTGTTCTACAGACTATATAATCATTTACTCCTCGTAAAGTCCGCCACGTGTGGATAATGTTAAAGAGATGAAGAGCATTCCCACAGTCCCACAACAATAAGTAGGCTGAGTTAAAGCACAATCTGGCTTTGTCAGCAGCTTAGATTATTTTCAGAATTGCCTATTAGCTTACTGTTCACATGTGATGACTCATTAACCATCATTCTTTGATGAAAAATGTATATAAATATCCCTGAAATTTAAGTTGTATAATTTTATTGAGCCAGTCTTCATATAAGGAATAAGTAAGTTTGATTTGTCTTAATTAGTACTCTTATTTATAAACATAAATAGATAAACATAGTTACAGATATGTATATTAAACCAGCAAAATAGTCGCTGTCCTGTTTTTTGTTTTTTAATTTCTTTGTTGATGGTTTATTTGCTTTACCAAAGCTGTTGCTTTTTATTCATTGCAAATAAGGGATATGCCCATTTTTGTGTGTACACTTAATTCATAGTTGTTTTACTCATGGAATTAAAAAGAATATCCTCATCTTAACTGTTATTCCTGGAATATGTGTCTTAGATGTCACATGTAGGTAAACTCATGCTTACTTCTACCTAAACTAATAGTTTTTATTTAAAAATGTAGCTTCACAGTTATCCATATTTCCTTGTTGACTAGCACAGGTGAGGATTGCCCCTAGAGTACATGCACAATTATAGATTAATGAAACACAGAGCTACATTCTGTAAAAAAAATAATAGATTACAAACACTTATCTAAAAACTATCTTCATGTTTCATTTTTTCAATTACTGCTTAAATTAACATGTAATTTTTCTCCTTTTGCAAGTGATAAGGAACTTGAAGTTAAATGAATTATTCAGTGAGTCCTTGTATACATTTTAGCTACTCTCACATTAACTTACCCTAATTCTGACCTATGACACACATATAGTCCAGTTAATGGCAGCTTCTGTACAGTGATGGTTCATGTTATGTCCTGTCCAATTTTCTATATAAGTGGTGGTTTCATGTCCAAGAAGTACTTGTTAAAAGCTAGTATGTGTAATTAATGTTCTCTGTGATGCTAACAGAAATGAAATGGCTTTCTCAATAATCAGGAATTGTTTTTGTTCTTTTCTATCCTGTGTAGACTATTGGGAATATTTTGGAAGTGTGCCCGTATTGGTAAGTGTCTAATCTCCCTTCATTTCTTCAACTATAAATTACTGACCACTTATTTATATTATACACATGACAATCAGATGTCAGTTTTCCAAGTGTAGGTTTCTCAATACTGTGTACTTTTGTAAGAATTTACAGAATTCTACCAATTATTTTTCTTTCCACTATTTAAAACTAGATGTAATGGAGGACTTCACAATATTTTATTGACAGAGAGATGCAAAGATGATGAAACACAGCCATATTCTGTAAGAAATAAAACTTATAGTATATTACAAAGTCTCATCTAAAAACTATCTTCATGAATCATTTTCTCAAAATTACTATTTAAATTAACATGTAATTTTTATGCTTTTGAAAATGATAAGGAACTTGAAGCTAAATGAATTAAACCTATTGAAATCAGGTATCAGATCCCATGTGTCTCTGGACTTGCAACAAATTCAGACAGTATCTATAGTACATGTTTATACCATGCTCTTTTGGGTCATGTGTGTTATTTTATTAATTTATAAATCAGGATTTCAAAGCTTTTGTTAGATGTCTTAAATTTGGTTTCCTATAAGAGCAAGTGGGTACTCATGTCACAATGTACATGTAAAATTAAGGGTACTCATTATAGTGGTTACTTTTCCCCTTCCGACATGCAGTTCTTGGAGAAGCAGGCTTGTCAGCAGGTACCTATACCCACTGACTTGTGATGTTATGTTGCTTGTACAAATAAACCCTGTCTGAGGGTCAGAGAATGAAGCTTGCCACTACCTAACCGTAGCAGTCTGGAGATATGTACACACAGACAGGAAGTAAGGTAGCTGGGCAGGAACAGGACATAAGCAGGGAAGAGCAGGAAATCACTCTCAGGTCTGCTGAGACACTAATGAGGTAAGGTGTGCTGTGGCTTGCTCCTTCTCTCAGCATTTCCCTCTATATCTGATTCTGGCTTTTTATTATCTAGGCCAATTAAGAACTCCATTTACAACGAATCATCTCAATAGCCCTCATGTTTGATACCGTTTTGATAACTAAGGATGAGTTTCACATAAAATAAAAATATTAAGATTATTTGCATTTCAGGTATACTGTGATACATCAGGTTAAATTCTTATTTTATCCTCACATTTGACATTGTTCATGTAAATTCAGAGTAATTGGTAAGTAAATGAAATTCAATTCAAAAGTACTAGTAGTTTTAATAATTGGTCATATCAATTTTAACATGTCTAATTAAAAAATATATTGACATTTGTACTTGGACTACTTAGATTGAAAGTGTTGTCCTTTGGAATTATTTGTATGGCATATGCATATAAATATGTCATCTTTTAATATTCTATTAGTCTTGAATTTCTGTGTAACTACTCTCTTCTGTTAAAACACCATTAATTTCTTAATGTAAAACAGTCTCATTTTAGCTAGTTTATTAACAACCCACATGCCCCAAACTTAACCGTTGAGTTAAAATTAAGGATTTACAAGTCACATTCCTGAAGGAAACTGTTCCTAGTTCCCAGGTTCTCCTGTTTTGTTTCTGTTTTCAGCTTCTCAGAAGAGAAACCCTAGAAGATGGTGTGTGATGGGAACCAAAGTTGTTGAAAGTTTCAAAGTGTAAACTAAACTCAATAATACTTAGACATTTTTCTAAAAACCTGGGAACAGGTGTGCATACCTTAGTGCAAATGACGTGTATGTAAATTGGTTTTCAGAGTTTTCAGACATCCTTTGTTGGTAACTGAATTAATTTTCAGAAAACTTTCTCCTTCATTGGACTTTCAGGTGATAGACAAGTTCTTAATAGAAATTATGCATCTGATACTAGATTATCCATAAATTTCTAGGTTTTCTGGATAATTGATAAGTACACAGGGTTTCACAGAAAAATACCTTATCCAAAGCCATCATTGTGATGTACTGACATAAGTTAAGCATTGTCCCCTAACAATTACGTATGCTTTTAACATGAAGTTTCCCTTCCTCTGTATGCTTCATGATGTTTTATTCTCTCTCATGTAAATAAGCATGAGAATCTTTCTATCATAGGAAATATAATTGGCTTTAAATTATCAAAAGAATATGTGTAGACTAATGTTTATTGTTCCAGGGATATTTAGGACTCTACCATATGTGGTCAACCTACAGCACAATCCTATCACTTAAAACTTTTTGAGATTTTTTGTTTCTTTATTGTGCTCCTTAGGTATGAATTTTGTACATGACAGTGTTGTATTTCAGTGTCATAAATTTAGATATACCTTGATCAAATTTTTTATTGTCAAAAATACAGTGAGTGTAGGTTGCTGATCTCCCTAAAAATACAATGCATAGGTGGCCATTCTCAATAAAATTACCCAGTCTAAGATACCAGTGATGCAAGCATTGGAGAGGCCTGGCCTAGATTGACAGAGATTTGTATAGATTTGTATAGTAATGAATAACGGCTACAAAACCTAAAGTAAAAGAATAATTCTTAAACACTTCAAAAGGAACCAAGAAGAGAAACAGATTACAACCCTCAGTACCTAAAGCTCATCGCTACGTAGAAGTATAAACCAAACTTCCTAGGAGTCAAGTCACTGTGAAAAAGGAAATATATATAACCAATATTATTGCCAAGAGCAAGGGAGCTAAGAACCTAAGTATACTGCATGGAGAGACAGCAGAGATCTGGTACTGAAGAGCTAAGTTTCCATCTCCATATATAAAATTGCTAACTCCCAAAGAAAACAAAGGTTTTTTAAGTCTGTTTTATGTAGGAGTTAGATGTGTGGACAATTCTACTTAGTAGCCAACCCAAGTGTCCTGCTTGTTCATAATTATGGCTAGAAAGGGGTATAGCTTAAAGCTTCAGGCATGTAGTATATACTTGTCTTAATCCTCAGATACAGTCTGTTTTTCTGCCTAGTTATAAATGTCTTTTCTTTTTGCTTGCTCATTTATTGATATGACCCTTCCCTGCTTCTGAATGGCTCTCTTAGGAGTGTTCCTTCTTACAAGAATCAAAGCACTTGCGTACTTGAGCATGGCAGCTTTGAAAACTGTTAGTGCCAAGATACTTTTTCAAGCACCTGCTTCTCTCTATTCTTGACACACAGTAGATCAACACAGAAAGGATGTGATTTAACAGGACGGGTCATCTTGTCTTGTTACACACCACAGGGCAGCAACTGGTTCACATTCACTTGCACAAAGCTACAACCTGACAAGAAGTAACATTTTTATTCAAGTTCAACTTAAGATGGTTAGCTCTACCACATGGCTGTCTCTTAAGAAAATGAAAAACATGAAAATGAAACCCATCTGTAAATTATAGCTTTTCTCTAAGTCATAAGATGAGAAAGAAAAGAACTTCCTCAAGAATTAATACTGAGCAGATGGAGAACTCAGTACAGGGATAATTGCTCCCTTTGGGTGTTTACTGGGACTGTGCTAGGCAGTGGACATATCGGCCCTGAAAAGAATACCAGGCTTTTATAGCATACACATAAAGTTTACGGATCAGCAAGGTGCTTTGTGGGACTATAGCCCTAATGAATTAGCATTGTAAGCCAATGTGTTCTGTTTTAAAATATTCTTAGTTCAATTATTTTAACTCTAAAAGCACCTTTTCATTAAACATCTTTTTTTAACAGAGGGCACTATTAAATGTCTGTTTAGAGGAGAAGGGGAGGACAAGAGTAATTAAAAAAAAAAAGCAAAGAGTACCAAATTTGTGCTTTTTTGTTTTCCTTTAGTATGGTTTAATTTTTGTTGGTTTGATTTGGTTTGGATTTGAGGACAGGGTCTCAAATCCATATTGATTGGGTGAACTTCCTGGAGGATGAGATTATAGGCAAAAACCCTGAATAAATGTCTACTTTTTTAATGTATGTGACATTTTCTGTAATTTGGGGCATTGAATAGACACAAATGTATAAACATAGTAATACATCAGCTTGGACTCAGCAAAGTAGCTCTGAACATAAAGTGATCTTGAGAATTTTAGTTAATGAGGGATGTCAAGGTTGACACTTATGAGAGTCAGGTAATGAGCGTCTTAGGTAAATAAGGAGCTTAGTTGTAGGAAAGTGGAGTTTAGACATCATGGAAGGACTTAAGGAAGGCTAGTCAGAGCCATCTCCTAGGTTTGCAATGAGCTCACATGTACCTCAGCTGTTCCACGTGACTGCTGCTTTCTTCTTACGCCTGGTACCCTCTGAATTAGTACAGCTTACAGTTACTAAAAAAGCAACAACAATTAAAATGAGTGGAATTCCTTTCATAGGGTCTGTATACCAGCAAGTCATTTTCATAAGCCAACATTAGATCTAAATTGGGCAAAGTCTCCAAATAGAGACATTCTTAGATGAATGAGGATTTGACTTATTAGAGAAGTTACTGTATTTAGTGTCTACTTTTAAATTGCTGAAATGCTAACATATCAGAAACATTATTAGTAGAAATGACACTCAAAATATTTCAGATAATTTCCAATCTTTTAGGGATGCTCAACCAATGAAATCTAGTCAAGTATTCCAAAATCTCCCAAATGGATAAGGAATGTTTTACCGTAAAAGACTTGGTACCTTAAGTGTATCAGAAGTAGCATCATCTATGGGAGAGTTTATGCCTACATTTTAATGGAATAATGTTGGCTATGCTGGCTGTCTTGCTGGTCATCACATAATGAGTGCTGTCTAACTCTACCAGTGTCATGAACTGGTACCATGATATAAAGATATTGCTGAATGCTGGTCATTGGAATCCTTAGATAGACATTCCCTTTTCTTCAGGAAGAGAGCTAACTATCCTTTGACTCTAAGTTGCTGGAGAACATTTCTTGGTTCTCGACTGTTCTGCATGGCCACAGCATGAGTACTTTCAGATACAAGTATCAGAAATAACTTGGGTTTGTCATGTCCAGCCTTTTTACATTGAAATGTGGCATTGTCACCTATGTAGTTCACACTTGCAAAATATACAGAGACACAAAATAGAATCTTTTGATGGACCAGCAAGATGGCTCAGCAATAAGAAACACTCACCTGATAATCCAGACTTCATAGAAAGTTGGAAAGAAAGAGTCCACTCTAAAGCTGTCCTCTAACCTTCACATGTGCATTGTGGCATGAACACTTACATGGACACAGCACATGATCAGAATGGTTTTTGATTTTTGTTTCAGAGTCCGTAAGTTTATTGTCTTATGTTGGACTGCAGTTTTAGCACACCTTGTTAGCCAATTTGTATTGAGCTTGTTTTATTTGCCTCTAGTTCCTTGTTTTCCCCTCTCTCATTAGTAACCTTATCATATCCACATTAGTCATTCATTCAACCAAGATGAATTTCTTCCTTTTTTCAACAGGTGAACGCAAGAGTCCTTATGTTGCCGTATGCTGTATAGTGATGGCCTTCAGCATCCTCTTCATACAGTAGCTTTGGAAACTACCAGCTGTGATTGCCATCAGACTCTGTAAACAAGGACATGTCTCCAAAAAAATAATGGGAAGAATGGCTAACCCTTTTATCTCTGAACATGAAATGAGATGAATTTCAAGATGCTGTTCTCTATTTTTATGCTATTGGACCAATGAGCTGTACAAATAATTAAGATGTAACAGGAATGTGATTGTAGCAGTCAACCTCAGTTTTGTCACTCCAGTATTATACTCAACAAATGCCATTCTGTTGTGTCGGGACTGCTTTTCCTAAGGTTCCTGAGGGCATGAAATAGAACTCACAGTTGGCGAATTCCACAGGCTTCTTTCATTAGGGTTTGAAAATATTGTCTTCATAGTATGAGACATTCTAGTGACTGGCCTATTTTTATTGAGAAAAATTGTTATATTTTTGTTGTTGTTACTGTTCTTACGGATTGCATTCATATTTAAACCATTTTGATTGCTAACCAGAGTACCTCTCTATTCTTGGCAAATTATTACAGGTGTAAAATATTTTAAACAAAATGCTGCATTTCTTTAACATAAGTTTGAGGCTTCTGGTCAACTGTGGTCAAATATACAGCTTCCGTTTTCTGAAAAAGATCATTCTTAGAATGAAAAAAGCAATAGAACAATGATAGACTAAAAATCTTAACAAGATATTCATTCTCTTTAGTGTGAAGTTTTCCAAATAGAACATCTGTTGTAGTTATCACAAATGTGGTTTTTGTTGTGTTTTTAATGCATCACTTTAAATCTGGTTTATTTTCTGTGAGCTTAAACTGGATTTTTTTTTCTTCTTCTTCTTTTGCTTTTAGAGACAGGGTTTCTCTGTAACTTTGGAGCCTGTCCTGGAACTAACTCACTCTGTAGACCAGGCTAGCCTTGAACTCACAGAGATCCCACCTGCCTCTGTCTCACAAGTGCTGGGATTAAAAGGCAGACTGCCCAGTTGGAATCCCTTTTCTGAGTTTGTAGGTGATAAACACATCTCATACCTGCTTAGTCTGAATACTGTAGTGTATTCTCTCAGCTTTGACACTGAAGCAGGAATTTGAGCATGTGGATGTGAAAAGATGTAACGGATTGAAGCATACGTATGGAAGGGCATTTAGAAGTTTGTGTTCAACTTTTCTGCAGGTTCTGCTGGGAAATAATTACCATGTCAAAGCTAAGAAAGATTAAGTCTACCTGAAAACACTTAACTACACATTACATTTATTAAATACTGGTTTGGGCTACTCCTTTATAAGTAAAAAAGAAATTTTCTCTTAGAAATGAACTCCTTACAGAAACAAAGTATTGGACTTGAATCATTTTAAAAGATCGTATCTATAATTGTGTGCTTCAACAGGCACAAAGCTTGCTGGACCAGCAGCTTTTACAGACCACTTGAGGCTGTATGGATTGTTGTGTGGAGGAGCATCAAGGGAAGTCTTACTGTGTTTTCTTGGGATTATTTGTTTGCAAAAGATGTTTGGGATGTCTGTAGCTATTTAAAGCTAGTCTGTTTTACTTTGGATAGGACATCAGATTGTGGTAATTATGCTACTCTGAACTGCATCTTGGGCTTTATATGAGGTCAAGGATTTCCAGGACATCTCTAAAGTAGGACTCCTTCATCAGCATATTTGTGCACAGTAAGTCACCTTTCAGGGTCTGATTTCTGGGTGGCCATCTGTTGTCCATCTCTGCTACCAGCTGAATTTTCCAGAAGTGTTGTCAACCTTTTTGTCTAAGTTAGCACACATTTCATAAAAGGAGAAAATAAAAATAAGATGTTCCATTTTTTGACATTTCAGACAGTGTAGGTGGAAATGAGAGGAAGACGAAGTTAACTTGTACTATCTTTCGTAACATAGAGCGATTTATTGTGTGCAGCAGCTTATTTCTCACCCTGCCATACCGCTCTCTTTAAGTACAGGCTCTTGGGAATGTAGGAATGATGCAAAAGGGTACAGAAATTTATAAAGAAAAGCAACATGTGTGAACACTGACTGCTCGTTTCCAAGCCACAGGGTGGTGTAGGGGTTTGAAGCCCATAGAATATTCAGCTATATGTTTTAATGGTATGTGGATGAGCAAAAAAGCACCCCATACAGCTGGCCTCTGCACAAATGCCATAAATACACGGCTTATGGGAGGAGGGACACTGAGACCCAGGGTTAGCAAGGTCCAGGTGTTTGCCCTAGCTACCTAGCTGGCTCTACAGTCGTTAATCCATGTCTCATATTTAGTTTTGTATTGGTGTTTGGTTCCTGATGAGTTTCATCTGTGTCACTGACAGTGCAGGGACAAAGGACATGTCTTACTGCCAGGTAGTCTTGCAAGATGGTCAAATTCATCTTATATTTTTAAAAACTTTAGACTCTAGTCCAGTATCTTGCTAATATCTTTTCTGCCTGTGCCAGAAATTACCTTATATGTTTCCAAACAAGATGTTTCCTGCTGGGGTTAGTAAGAATGTGTAATTTATAATAAAGTCCTTCACCTTCATAATAAAGTTAGTCTCATAAGATCACACATATTTCTATGAATTAAGTTTTCCAAGTTTACAAAGTCCAACAAATCTTTGCCGCCATTTGTGAAAAATATTTAATTAACACATATAAATAGCATGTATTTCAGGAAACATTTACACAGTTGAAATGGTATGTGACCATTGAAAATAAAAATATGAGTGCTTTCCCTTTATTCATAATGTACATGAAAGATAATACTTGTTATTGAGATTATCCCAAGATTCTAGAAGAAAATGAAGAGTGATGATTCTTTGAGGGTAGAAATTCTAGAAGAGCATGGAATAAGCTGAACTTGGCAGTATTTTGCAAAACCACAGTTGTATGTTAGGAATTATATGTTCCTTAGTTTGTTGTGGCACTAATGGAGTATGACATGAACTATAAAGTGGACAGATGTTATACCCTGGCAAGTCATGTATTTTACCTACCTCAAAACTGAAGTTGAGTGTTTTCCCTCCTGCCGCACAAATCCTGCAGGAGTACAATAAAATTTCCCTTGGTTTATGAACAAAAAGGTTGACAATGGAATACAATAGTGTATTCTCCTAAGATTTCTCTAAACATTGTAATGGCAACTAGCCAGTCAAGACGGTGTTTCCAGAAACTTGTAAAATCTCATATTCCATCTGCTAACAGCAGTCCCTGCTGTTCAGACAAACACATACTAGAAGTGCACTGTTTACATTTCCTGAATGCACAGAAAACTTTGCAGTTATCAAGAACGTAAGCTTCACAAAAGCCTTTGGGAAGTTATTTCATCCTTGCAATCTGAAAATTCTTGGGGGCCACTCTTCTCTTACTTTCGTATCATTTAGTAGTAATGTTCTCAAAGTGGTGCTGGCAATCACCCTGGTGACCTTCACAAGGAAGCCAAGACTAGCTTCTGAGAAATAACCTCATTCTGTTTCTCCTTTGGCCTAAACTAATTACAACGTAACCTTAAATGCCATTCCAGTACCTTTTGGAGAAATGAGAACTATAATTCGTGTTTAAAAGTGGAGGTGACCATCCATACTCTGGTTAATTCATATGTCTGCTATGTAATAAAAAATGAATTGTCAAAGCCTTCTAGTTTTCTCTTATCACATCAAAAGAAAGCAATGTATAAAACTTACAGGGTGACCATTATGACTAGAGTAGCTTGTCCACATTAGTGTGTGGACTTGCCAAGATTACTTTTGAAGGTGATGTTTTATTGGTTTGTTTCTTGAGACTACCCACACAGTTGTTGCTGCTGCTTGACATATCTGAAGAAACGACTTATGTGTTACTGTGACCATGGTACCGGACAGGAACACTGGGAAAGTGTGGGGTACTTGTTTCCCTTTTAGGCATAATGGAGTTCCAAAACAACATGTGACAGGGGCTCAAAAAGTGATAGTGGACCAGGGAGCTGAGAGTGACTCCAGAGTAGGCCAAGCTGTATTCTTCAGGGCCCTCCTTAGAGGCCTAATTCTGAACAGGCCCCAAATCCAAAAGTTTCTATATTTCCACCAATGAGAAAATAAACAGCATCCCCAAAAGCCAACACAGTGATTGAGCTGCTTCTTTTGAATCTGGTCTTGAATATGCCACAGAGGTGGTTGAATTCATATTCTCTGAAAGTAGCAGTTGTTGATTACTAACAATTTTAAATGCAATCTCAATTTAGGAGTTGTAGAAAGCACATTGTAGCAAGTACCTATCAGTTTGTGTCCAAAGCCTAGAAACCCAACTCACCTAATTAACTCTGTATTATTGAAAAATAAGGTTGTGCTTTGCTTTAGAAAGTATGGTCTTTGTACTAAAGTCTTTCTAGGTTAAAATCAACACATGGAAGCATTTTTCACCTGTTCCTGGAAAGGTGTTTTTCCTAGCCAGTGAGTACCAATTTTGGCTTTAATTGGGCTTTAAATTCAAAATATGCAGTGAGTATGATAGCAGTATTGTCATTTGGTATGTTGTATACCTCCCTTACTGTGCCATTGTGGATTCCAGGCAATTAAAAAACAAGTACTAAATTTCTCATTTCTCAGAAGAACTCAAAATGGCATTGTAATAGATCATTAAATTTAACATTTATGGGAAAGGAAAATCTACTCAGGAGGCCTATGGATGTCCTTCACTGAAACAAAATTGGGGTAGAGACAAGAAAAATAAAGACAAGTTAGGGTGAGTTATTTACACAAACTATACTGCTATGTGAGAGCCAGATACTACTGTTAGTGTTTTATTTGACACGGGAAGTGGCCTAAAACAAATGTAGAGATTATTAAGTGCTCAAACCTGGACTTTGTCAGGCTCTTCCAACATACTTGATAAACTGCTTGTTGTAGGCTAAATACTGGGAAAGCAGTGTGCAAAGATTAGACTGTTTAAAAGAAATACATGTTTGAGGCATAAAGGATTTCAAGAACTATAAAAACATTTCTTTGCAGGATTCAAATATTAAAACTAATCTGCAGGCTTGTGATGACATGGAATTATTGAACGTTGGAAATTATAAAGTTAGGAAATTTTTGAAAAATCAGTTAACATTCTTAAAGGATAGTCAAAAAGTACTTTTCTCCTTTGATAGAATTTTTTTCAGTTTTAGCTAAGTATTACAAGTTAAAACTATAATAAGTCTTGGAAGATAAAATAATGATGACTTGTAAAATAGGTTGTTGAGTTTATGATGTGAAATGAAAGCTTTATGCCACACAGATAGAGAATAATAAAAGCTGTTTGAGTTTTCTGAAAATTTGGTTTTATGAGGAAACCTTCGGGTCTTTTAATGGGCTGTTGCTCTTGTGTCTACATAATTAAACACCTGAAGTGTGTTGATGGTTCTAAGCAAATGAGGTAGGAGAACTATTTTTCTTTTCAGTATTTCAGTCATAAGTTATCTTCTCAGTAGTCCAGTTTAATGTCAGCATGTAACAGAAGGCAGCATGACCAAATGCTACTGACATTAGCCCTCAGTCCCTAAGCAGATCTGTTTGCCTGTCACAGAGAACAGAAAGAACTCCGGATAATCTTCACCTCCAGAGAGTAAAAATGGATGCCTTGTCACCAACCAATAAGCTAGGATCCTCTATATGTCCTATTCCATGTATAGGAGAACTCGCATTTGATAACCTGAATGTGTGAGATACTGCTAAGGTCAAAATAGTCAATGTAGAAAAAAATACTGCTCAAGGAGCCTAGATTTTAGTTGAGGCCCAAAAGGGTGGGTGTGACGGAGACATATACAACCTCTAATGAAGACCGAAGAGACCTGAATGATAATTTACATAGGGTATTCACAGAAGTCCAGTCCAAGAATTTGATGGGTAGGCTAAGACTTCTCTCAGTTAAAGATGTTGGCCAAAGGAATGGTATATTCAAAAGCTAGGAAAGACCTTAAGAATCAAGGTAATAGAGAAAAAGAATTACAGTGATTGATGCAAAGAATGGTGTATCAGAGGTTTAAAAAAAAAAAAAGACTGAATCAGAGGGCTTTGTAGAGTACAGTCTCTGTGTCTAATATTGGAGCCATAAATATTTAAGGATGAGCTGAAACCCGTTTACTTCTTGTTCTGACCTTCTTACCATGCACATTCTTAGAAAAGAAGCCAGCACCCATTATCATAGAGATGACCTGTCCCATGAGCCAGGTTGAAAGAGCTGAAAGAGGACCAAACGGAAGGTAGAATCAATTTTAGGCTCACACAAATTAGGCTAATTGGCAGATCTCCGATATTGTGTATATGCTACTTCATCATGCTAAACCCATTTCACACTCCTCGCTGTGTTCCATGCTAGTGTGAGCTTTGTAAGGAAGGCAATTGTAGAAACACTGCTTAACCAAGTTGATGTATTAAAAAATTTTGTGAGTACCAATTTTATCTCAAATCTTCTAAAATTAAATTCTTGTCTCCCTTGTGTTACCTATCATCAGTCTGAAACTAGATCTGTTGTTTTAGTGCTACATCTCCCACGCAGGTGTGGGAATTCAACCTCACACATGGTTAGACGGTCCCACATGCTGAATTCATATCTTTTGTGATATGTCTCCTGGAACTCCAGAACTATGAAAAGAACATTCTGCCCTCCAAAAGCACACAAAGTTACAGCGGAGGAGCTAGCATGCTGCTATCATTATTTAAACCAAGAAAAACACTGGAGACAAGATGAAAGGGCTCATAAAAATGCGTTCTTATTCCTGGTTCTAAACTCTAACAGCTGGCCTTTCCCATGTTGAATAACGGTACATAAATAATCCAGCCAGGAAACAGAGGGGCTATGAAAAAGTCTACAGAGTGATAGATGGTCTTGGCCATGCTGCTCATCACACCCAGTGGAGTTAAAAGGAAGTAAGTGGTCACTGGAAGATAGTGGTGAACTGGCGCTGGCATATGCCATCAGCAGCTGCAGCATCTCAGTTACCTGGGTCATGTGTCACACGTTCTACAGCAATTTTCTTCCTAAGTGTACTAACACTCCTTAAGCTGCCCCGGGGGCCTTTTCAGTTCCATTCAGATTTGTCATCTTTTAGTCATGAAAAATCTACAAGAAGGTGGCTTTCCAAAAATAAATATTACCCTTAAAATCAAGCATAATCATGTATAAATTTTTAAAAAGCAAATATCCTGTGTACATTCTATTTCATATTCTTAGCCACATAGCCTAGCCAAAAGTAATGTTCCATTTCCTACTCTTATATGCTCCTTTCAATAAAGGACATGCAGTCACAGGTAAAACAAATAAAAAAGGTGCCATGAGAGAGGATTAGACATTCAGCCTAAAGACTTAAATGCAACTCTCCCGTGTACATGCAGGCAAAGTGGCAACAGGGCACCACAAGTCTCATTGCAAATTTGCATGAGAAGGTACAAAAGCCTTCCCAGCCTTGAACCCTGTGTTCCCTAACTAGTCTCCACTTCTATTTCCTAGCAATTTCTTACTTTTGGGATAAGAGAGAGCTCTTGGAGAAAGAACAGTTTTTGTTTTTGTTTATTCGTTTCTCATAGATAGACTCTTGGAAGTCCCATTGTAGCTGGGATTTCAATACTTGTAATATGTACCCAGTGCTTTAGCTTCCCCAACCTTGTATGACAGCTCACTTTGATCTTTCAGAAGTTACAGGAGATGTGATTACAGCAGTAGGTACTTCAGTAGGGAAGATGCATGGGCATAGGCTTATTTAGGAGTATCAGTAAGAATGAACTCACTTGTTGACTACACTGTGTATGGATATCCACAACAAACCAAAAGAAGAAAAGCAAGGACAACAGAAAAAATACTGTTAGGTCTTAAATGGTTTGGTAGTTTCCATATTTTTTCACCGCCTTCTCTGTACTTTTATTTGCTGTAATCCAAGGCTACATTCACACTCATGCTGCCGCTCCTATGATCACCCTAGAATGACATGAATCACTAAGTAAAAGATGCTTCCTGCTCTCCTCAGAGTCTTCAGCCCTGTGCTCAAGAAATGGCTCAGTGGGATCCCCAGCATGACTTTTTTTCTATGAATTATAGAAAAAGTATGAAATATTATATAAAGAAAATGATTTCTAGTAACAGTATAATGTACTCCTAAATAGTATGCAGATATCTGTAAAGATGTTTAAATTTGATTTTCACTAAATGAAATGAAACAGAGCATACAAGCTTTAACTTTAGCCTCCTTCCATTTAACAATATCATAAACACACACAAATTAAAAATTGCCATTTAAGTTATAGCCCATATAAAAACAATTACAGAGCATTCCACTGTAGATTGCAATTTATTTAAGCAACAGTTTGTTATTAACACAAGTTGTTTCCACTCTGAAAATGACATACTTAGAACATAGCATGGCTCAAATCACACCAGGGTCTTCCAGGTAAATTTATTTCATACATGTAGTTAAGTTAACAAAATGATACCCTGTTTCCACTTAGATCTGTCTGGGTAGGATCCAGGATAAGCGGCACATGTCAGCAAGAATGTTGACTGATTGCCTCCTACGTCTCAGGGTTAATTGGAAAACCATATGTCACCCTACCTGTAACTTGTAACCACACATTTTAAAAACATGCTTAACATTTATATTTCATTAACTTTTAATAGAATAGG